AGCGGCGTGCGGCCATGCTGCTCCGCTTGTTCGATCGCCGCGCCGGTCTCGAGGAGCAGCCGGGCGATGTCGAGGTGGCCCTGCTGGCACGCGATGTACAGCGGCGTGGCGCCGCCGTTCGCGGCTTGGTTCACCGCCGCGCCGGTCTCGAGGAGCAGCCGGGCGACGTCGAGGTGGCCATTCTGGCATGCCATGCACAGCGGCGTGAAGCCGTCCTCCGCGGCTTGGTTGAGCGAAGCGCCGGCGTCGCGCAGCAGCCGGGCGATCTCGACGTGGCCCTTCTGGCAGGCCATGAACAGCGGCGTGGCGCCTCTGGCGGTGGCTTGGTTCACCGCCGCGCCAGCCTCGAGGAGCAGCCGGACGATGTCGACGTGGCCCTCTGCGCACGCAACGTGCAGCGGCGTGGCGCCGTCCGCTGCGGCTTGGTCGATCGCAGCACTGGCCTCGAGAAGCAGCCGGGCGACGTCAAAGTGGCCGTACTGGCACGCGACGAACAGCGGCGTGAAGCCGCCATCCACAGCTGGGTTGATCGCCGCGCCAGCCTCGAGGAGCAGCCGGGCGCACTGGACGTGGCCTTGCCAGCACGCCATGAACAGCGGCGTGGCGCCGTCCTCCTTGGCCTGATCGAGCGAAGCGTCAGTGTCGCGCAACAGCCGCACACACTCGAGTTTGCCCTCCCCGCACGCGCGGAGCAGCGGCGTGGCGCCGCTAGAATCTGCTTGGTTCACCGCAGCGCCGGCGGAAATCATCAGCCGGACGCAGTCGACCTCGCCAGCCAGGCTCGCAGCGCTCAGCGGCGTGGTGCCGTCCTCATCGGCTTGGTCGATCGCCGCGCTGGCCTCGAGGAGCAGCCGGGCGATCTCGAGGTCGCCCATCGCGCACGCGATGATCAGCGGCGTGACGCCGCCGTCCTCGCCGGCCTGGTTGACCGCTGCGCTGGCTGCGAGAAGCAGCCGGACGATCTCGAGGTGGCCCTTCGCGCACGCGATGAACAGCGCGGAGCGGCCGCCGCCGTTCGTCGTCCCGCAACGCACACTTGTGCTGCTGTCGAGCAGCAGCCGCACCGCCTCGGCTTGCCCGTGCCGCGCCGCCCAGGTGAGCAGCATGTCTTGCTTCTCGGTGTCGAGCCGGACACGGGCAGGCTGCGGCGCGGCGCTCGAGGCGGGAGCGCGCCGCCGCAGCAGGCCCTGCTGCCGCGAACCCTGTCCGAGGTCGCTGACCCGCGCTCCCGCCCCCGCTCCCACCACGGCCACCGTGCGCCCCCCCCCACGCGCGCCCCCGCGGCCCGCCGCCGCGCCCTGCCGACCCGCCGGCAGCGCGAAAAGAAACCCCGGCGACCGCTGGGAGGGGCCAGCGGCGGCGGCGCGGGCCGAGCCCACGGCCGGGCGCCGCGTCACCGAGAACTCGCCGCCCGCACCCGAGGCACTCTTCGCCCTGGCCGCCGCCGCCCGCGCCATGGCGTCGGCGGCGGCTTGGACGGTGACTGCGGCCGGGTACACGAATCGGTCGTTGACTCCGGCGGCGTTGAATCGGTCCGTCCAATCGCGGCCCGCGGACGGCAGGCAATTTCTCTCGCTGAGCGGCACGCACAGCTGGTGCTGGACCATCAGGCGGGAGCGGCCTGACGCAGACTCGAGGGTCGCGCCGTCGTGCCCGCCAATCGCAAAGTCGCGAACGAGTGCGCAGGTGGGCGCGCCCCGCTTGCGCTGCTGCGCCGGCGGGGAAAGCGCTACATAGAGTCGGACAGGCTCGCCAGCATCTGGCCGAGCAAGCAGGAGGCCGACGAGCGATCCGGATGCGCCCGCGTCCGGATTGATGAGGCCCTCCCCGGATTTCAGCTTGACCTCGAGGAAGAAGGGCCGGAGCGTCGCGGCCGAGCCCTGGCCGGCAGCAACGTCGCTGCTCGAAAGAAGGTAGCGGGGGCGGCCTTTTCCGCCTAGCCACCCGTCGACGCTGGCACCCACGCTCTGCGCCGCCGCCGGCCCCGGCCCAGCGCCCCGCCGGTAGCTGCTGCGGAGCGAGAGCGGCTTGTCGTCCTCCTCGCTGTCCACATCCTCGCTGTCCTCGCCGTTCGCCGCCACGCCTGCCGCATCGGGTGAGCCGTCGCAGGCCACGCCATCGCACACCGGCCTCGCCAGCGTCAGCAGCTGCTGCGAGCGCGCCCACCACCGCTCGGCGTGGCGGAGCCACGCCCCCAGCTTTTCCATCACCGACGTCGTGTATGACCCGGCGCTCGCACCGAGCTGCGCCCACGACTGGCGGCAGAGGTGCAGGTTGACGTTGCCTTCGGCGTCGCGGTACGGGAGGCGGCGCTCCTCGCGGAGGAGGAAGCGGGAGGCCGAGAGCCCACCGATGTCGATCTCGACGAGCGGCGTCGCAGAGTACGTCGCTCGCGGGCCAGTCGCCATCCGCGAGGAGGTTCGCAGGTTCGCGGCAACGGTGTTTTGGCGCCGCTGCAACGCATAAAAGAAGAATTCTTCCCCTGCTCCTTACCGGAATCTCGGAGTCGCACCTCCTTTCCGGCCGCGGCCATGCAGCATGCCCTAACACTAAGTCGAGCAGCGCCCGCTCGGTGTTGCCGAAGGCGACAAAAGCCCCCTTCCAGCCGAGCCGATCGCCACCCTTGCACGCAAGCGACAAAACAGATTTTTAGCAATACCAAACAACTCTAACACTCACACGTCATTTGGGGCCTGGAGCCCTGTTCACGCGCGCGCGAGACGTGCAGACAGGGTTGCCAGGTGAGAGCGAATGGCGCGGTTCACGCCTCGCACAACAGAGAGAGAGATGCGCTCTGCATGGTGGGACATAAAAGAGAGCGAGTACTTGGGCGAGTAGGCCGTGCGGTCAACGCTGCCGCGCGCGACTTTGCGCGCGAGGCGGCGCAGCTTGAGAACGGCGGTGGGCGAGAAGCCGCCGCCGAACGTCTCGTGGAGCAGCAGGTTGAAGTTGTTGCGCTTGACAAAGATCGCGTCGTGGTAGAAACCGCGATGCGCCTTGACGTAGCCGTGGCCGGTCTTGTGGGAGAAGGGTTGGCTGGGCTGCCCGCGCGCCTTGCAGCCCATGTTCAGGCGGCGGGCCTTCTCCTCGGTGTTGCCGAAACCTGGCAACCCTGTCTGCACGTCTCGCGCGCGCGTGAACAGGGCTCCAGGCCCCAAATTACGTGTGAGTGTTAGAGTTGTTTGGTATTGCTAAAAATCTCTCTCTCTCGCAAGCGAGCTCGTAAGTTTCAAGTCGCCAACGAGGCGCACATGCCCTTTGCCAATGTTCGCCGCCGCCACGTCAGGTTGTTTTGGGTTACTGTAACTGAGGTGTGCAGTCGGCTCCATCTCGATGAGCATGCCCCACGCCGAGCGAAGGGTCTTGACGAGTCGTTTGAGCAGGTATTTGTGTCGTGTCGCGTGCTTCGCACGCGGGTTGACCATAAAGAATTTTACAACGAAACTCCCTCGCACAACACTGGCATAAATTTTACAACCACACGACACGATTCGATTCACGCGACACGATTCACGCGACAGGCGAGGCGCGGGCGACGGCTTCCTCAGAAGCCGTCGCCCGCACCACAGGAGCAGTCACACCACCACTCCCACTCCGGCGCCCACCCACTCCCCGCATAAAGAATTCTTGACCACAAGCACGCAGCCCTTTTTTGGATACCTCTGTGTTCGTGCGTTGCCCATCTCTACGGGAGATGACTGCTCTATTTATTTATTATTTATGGTGCTCGAAATGTGCACATTCGAATGTGCCCGGAAGCATGCGGCGTAATCGTTCCTCCCTCCGAACACGAGCAATTGTCTTTCTTTTTTGGATGTAGAATAAAAAAGAAAAAGGCACGCGCCGCCCGTCTACTCCTCACCACAAGGGCCACGCACGGCTCACAAACTCAAAACGACTGCGAGAGACACCGTGTCACACCGGCACACGCAGCTCGTATAGGCGGCTCAAAAGCCGAGAGAGAAATAGGCGGCTCAAAAGCCGAGAGAGAAGGGTGGTGTTTAGAAACACCGGGGGTGGAGTGGCGAATGGCGGAATTAGAACTCCTGCGACGCGCCCTTGCCGGCGACCTTCGACTTCTTCGGCAGGAGCACCGAGTGGATGTTGGGGAGGACGCCGCCCGAGGCGATGGTCACGCCGCCGAGGAACTTGTTCAGCTCCTCGTCGTTGCGGACGGCGAGCACGAGGTGGCGCGGGGTGACGCGCTTCTTCTTGTTGTCGCGGCACGCGTTGCCCGCGAGCTCGAGCACCTCGGCAGCCATGTACTCGATGACGGCCGTCAAGTAGACCGGGCCGCCCGCGCCGTACCGCTTCGCCAGGCGCATGGTCCGGAGCGCCCGCCCGATCCGCGCGACCGGGAAGGTGAGGCCGGCCTTGGCCGACTTGGACTGAGCCTTCTTCTTGGAACCGCCGCGACCGCCCTTGACCATGATGCCTGTTTGTGTTGGTGATGACGCACTTCCGATTCAGCACGCGAGTCGACCCTCGATTTCGATCCGCACCCGCCTGCAGCGGCGCGGCCTCGCCCGCGAAGATGGCTCGCCCCGCGCTCCTGCTCGCGCTCGTCGCCGCCGCGGCCGCGCTCGCGCCGAGCGGGCCCGGCCGGAGGCAAGACCGCGCCGCGGGCCGCCGGATCGAGCCGCGAGCCGCCGCCCGGGTGGCAGCCCCCGGCGGCGCGACCAAGCCAACGGTTGCCGAAAAGCCGAGGCGGCGGCGCACCGCACTGTGTGCGTGGCAGTTGCTCCTGAACTCGCCCTGACAGCCGCTAGAAGTCCAGAGTGTTGGTGCATGGTGGCGTCTGTCTCCCCACTGGCACTGTGTCTCCAATGCATCCATGCATGCCGCGGGGGGGGCCGTTTCCGCGTTTCCTTCCCCCGCTTGGTGCGACCTAGCTGTTTGGGCACACGTGGCAGCCGTTGATGAGGGGGACTGGGTTTTGGGGGTCTTTGGTTTCTCCCCGTTGAATTCTTTCTTACTTGCTGTTCTTTTTTCTGTCAGCCATGCCGAGCGACCTGCTGCCGACGCTGGAGCGGCAGCTGCTCGAGCTCGAGTGCCTGCGTTCGATGTACCCGTTCGAGTGCTCAGTCGACGCGGCGGCCGAGTCACAGGCGCGAGCGTTCGTGGACGGTGCCTTGCCTCTCGACACAAGCCGGAGCCTGCTCTCTGTCGCAGTGAGCGTCGCCGTCGGTGAGTGCGGCGAGGTGGCAACGCTCCACTGCACGCTTCCGACCGTCTACCCGGAGACGGAGCCGCCTGCTCTCGAACTCTCCTGCGCCGGTCTCACACCCGCAGCACACGCCGCTGTCTCGGCCGCTCTCTGCCATGCGGCAAACGAGGCAGTGGCGGATGGGCGCGAGGCGCTCTCGGACCTGTGCCTCGTGCTGCAACAGGAGGCATCCGCGGCCGTTCAGCAGCAGCAGCAACAACAGCAGCAGCAGCAGCAGCAGCAGCCGTCGCTACTCGACGCCGCCAAAGAGATACGTGGCGGCTTTGGCGTGCGGCTCATCTGGTTCCACCACATCAAGAGCCTGACAAAGCGGAAGGCCATCGTGGCCAGCGCGCGCGAGCTGCGGCTGGCCGGATTCTGCAAGCCCGGCTTCCCGGGCCTGGTCTGCTGCGAGGGAGACGAGGAGGCGTGTGCAAGCTTCGTGGCGGCGATCCGGGCGCTGCGGTGGCAGGCGGCCGAGCCCTAATGTAGCAGCGCTTCTAGCCTCGCATCTCTCGCTCTCACTCTCTCACACTCACACTCACCAATGCCTTCTCTGCCGCCCTCACCACTGCCAGGCGATGGACGTGCGGTGGCAGCACACCTCGCCCAGTGCGCCGCGCCGCGCCGCGCCGCTGCCAGAGCCGTTTCGCGAGCTCGGTGAGCATGGGGTGTGCGGAAGGCGGCTGTCCACATCACACGTCCGCGACGCGTCCTTCGACGCGTCCACGGTAGGCGAGGGCGCGATGGGCGAGGCTGCTGCGCTATGTGAAGGCGCCGGCTGGCACGGCGCTTTCCGTGAAGCGGTGCTCAAGCTGAAGCTCTCGGCGGCGAGCACCTCCGTCGGCGGGTGAGCTGAGTGTCGCGCTGTGTTTTATGGCCGCATAATACGTGAATCACGATCTGTGACGTGTGCTCTCCAGCCTGCCCTCAGCACACATGAGGGAGGAGACGATTGCACACGACTGCGGAGACTGGGGGGACGGGGACTGGCGGTGGCGCGCGCCACGCGCCGCGGCGCGGCTCGCTCGACGGCGGTCGGCGCCCCGCCCCCGTGGACCAGGCGCCAGGCCCCGCCGTGCGCCGACGGAATCATCTCTAAAATGTAAAGAGTAAACACGACGCGCCTCGACGACGCGACATCCGCCCCCCGCCCGAACCGCGCGGAGCGCGCGCGCGAGGCATGTTGTGCGAGTATATGGGACAAAAGCGTCGAAAATGTCCCAAAAAAGCGTCTCGAGTTTGTGGCAGCTCCGCAGCCAGCGCGGGCTGCCAGGACGCACCGCTCGCGCGTTCGGCGCACTCCCTGGCACCCAGGGAGTGCGCCTAACCGACCAGACCGAATAGGCTCGATGCCGCGCTCGCTGTGGAGCTGCCACAAACTCGCCGCCGAGCGTGCCACCGACGGCGTCCTGGCGGAGGTGGTGGAGTTTGAGACCTGAGGCTGCGGAGGTGACGCCTGAGGTACCGGGCCGTGCACGGCGACTCAGCCGGCGACCGCCACGGGCTCAGACGAGACTTGTCGACGCGTTCCGGCTCAGCTTCACCGTGGTCCTCGGGCGTCTGTCGACGTCAGGACCACCCATACAGCTCGCGGGTTTGAGGTCGCAAGAGCCAAGATGGTGGCGTTTGGACATCCCAACCATCACACAAGACAGCCTGTAGGTGATGGCGGGACGGCGCAGTGTTTGTGGCACTCGGCAGTAGGCACCCGCGGCACGGCCCCGCTGTCGGCTCTCGCGGGCTGCGGAACCGGCCCCAGAGGGGGACGGTCCGGGCGAGTGTGGCAGCTCCTGCGCTAGTATGGGCAGCCTCTATCATAGCACTACTGATCCTGGTCATTAGAGCTGCCAGGGATAGCGTCAGGAGCCGGTAGGAGTCAAAACCCCTCATATTTGAGACATCGTGTCCCATATACTCGCACAACGAGCCGCGACGGTGTCTCGTGCGGCGTTTTGGCCGCGCGGCTAAACACATACACCATACATGTATAATCACAAATAAAGTTTTTAAGCCGTCTAAAACTCAAAAGTCAAAACTCAAAACAAAAAAGGAGATCGAGTGGAGACTGCAGACTCTCGACTGTCGACACTCGAGACTCACAGACAGAGACCGGCTATACGTACACAAACACTCGACTAGCACACTTATGTACACCAATAAATACGCCAAGCGCGTTACAGGCTCTGCGACGTCAAGGATACCTCGTGACGGCCGGCTGCCCGAGCGCGCACGTCGTGTACTTCTGCACTACGGGCGCTAGAAAGGCCCGATGCTGCAGGCGCCGGCTTCTTCGAGCAGACGACCTTGAGGAGGAGGTAGGTGAGGAGGATGTGGAGGACGCAGGCGACGGCCATGCAGAAGGCGGCGAAGCAGATGAGCAGCGACCAGTACCTGGACGGGCAAGAGACAGCACCGGGGACACGTCGAGAGCTATCGCGTGTGTGAGGGGAGAGCGAGGACAGCTGCAGCGGGACGGCGCCGCGCACCACTCGATGCTGTCGACGGCGTCGACGGTCCAAGCGATGGAGAGGCCGCACCAGGCGCCTGTGTGTCCGGCAGTGAGAGGGTGGCGTGCGGGCGGTGTGAGGTGGGCTGGGCAGCGTGTGGTGTATATGCGGTGCGACCGAGGCTGTCTACGAAGACTACCAGCACGCGCGGAGTACCGTATCCGGCAAACGTCGCACTCGTGCATAGGACGGCCAAGAGCAGCCGCTCGCGCGGCGTGGCGAAGCCGACGTGTTGGCTCACGCAGCAGCGGGCCACAAGGCTGCCGAGCAGGCCGACGCTCGCGATGCAGATCTGGCTGATGATGCCTGCTTGCCAGGCCTCCTCGTCGCCGAATGCATCTTTGGTTTGGTCAAAGATGACGTTGACCACCCCGGCGGCGAGCACGGTGATGTTCCAGAAGATGGCGACCGAGGCGGCCGACTGCGAGCGCGGCGGCGGGAGTCCGAATGCGGAATGGTGAGCGGGAGCATCAGCTTGTGTGTGCGGCGATATACGCACTGCGGCACCGTGAGATTCGGCCTGCAGCAGAGTATTCTCTTGCACGTGCGAGGCAGACAGCAGAGTATTTTCTTGCAGCAGCCCATGAGATGTGCGGGTGGAGCGCGTCTGTGGAGCGCGTCTTGATCGTCGGTTTTTGCGCAGCTGTGAACGGCGACTGAAACTTCCTCTTTGAAATAAGGAGCCGTTCAAATTTCTATATAAATTACTCTGATAAACTGGAAAAGAAGAAAGAAGTCCTTCTGACCTCTTCAGACAGAGACATCATGCTCAACCGCCGATCCCTTCCTCGTACAGGGTCGGCTCGTCGTCGGTCAGCAGCGCGAGGCCGACGGAGAAGAAGAGCGCGATGAGGGACTGCACCGGCGCGCGGAGCGGCAGCGGCAGCAGCCGGAAGGCGAAGAGGTTGTAGGGTGCGAAGCAGGCAGCCTCGAGTAGCATGAGGCGGCCGAGCGAGCGCCGCGCCGCGTCGACGGCGGCGGCTAGGCTCTCACCGCGCAGGAGGGGCATCGCGGTGAGGTAGGCAGAGTTGCAGACGGGCGCCCAGCAGGCGTAGGAGACGGCGACCTTGAGCAGCACCTGCAGGCGGGGCGAAGAGCCTCTGCACACGCACCGAGTCGTCAGAGCATTTCCCTCCACACGCACTTTCCACAGAGTCAGACGCCTATAGGGTCGGCCGGTCGCGAAGCTCTGGGCTGCGTCTATTAGTCTGTCCGTGCGGCAGACACCTCTCGCGTCGTTGGCGGCTGGCCGGGCTCATGCGGCGGGAGTATTGAGACGGAACCTCTCCAGCGCTCGATGGCCGCGTCCAGCCAGCGGTACCACCCCGCATTGATGACGCCGCCGATGACCGCGCCGAGCAGGGTGAGGTGAAGGATCGGCGCCAGCGCGGGACGGCCACCGCGGTGCGCTACCAAGAGCTGGACGAGCGTGCCCGCGATGAGACGAGTGACCGCGCCGGCGAGCACTGCGCTCAGGTAGAAGTGCCGATCGAGGAAGCCGGAGGAGCCGACAGCACGGCGGCGGCCCTTGGGCGTATATCCCTCCACGGCGAGCCGGCGACTGGCCACGTCAACCGCAAGCAGAGGTTGAGCTACGGAGGCCCGCGGCAGCAACGGCGGCTCGGAGCGTGTAAGCCAGCTCATCGGACACTGGCGCGAGAGGTGTTTTGTCGAGGAAGCGCCTTGGGAAAAGAATTGGAACACCGTGGCACGGCACTGTGCTCGCCGAAGAGGAGTACGACAAAATAGCGCCCGTGATTGCCTGCACGCTGCCCGCACTCACGGACTCCATACCCGAAAGAAAGAGAGGGGAGCTCGCAGGAGAGGTGACGAGAGAACTACAGGTAGTGGGGAAGGCAGCCTCGATCGCCATACTGACATGGATGCGAAACAACGACAAGACTAAGGCACGGGTGCAGAGGAACGAGAGAAGAATATAGGGTGGATAAAGCGCCTGTTCACGGCATGGGGAGGGTGAGCCACGCCGAACGTACCGAACGTAGAGCCGAGCGGAAGGAAGCCGGGGAAGACGACTCCGAGGAGGACGACCACGAACCAGTGGAAATCCCGTTGTCAGCCGTCACGATGCACCCGAAGGGGACCCCAGCGCCAGCATCAGCCGTGGAGGCACAAGTGTCCGAAGAGAGAGTGGACCTGAGCAACGAGATATGACTTGGCGGCAAATGGTCGCAGTGGGCGTCAGAAGAGTCGTCCTTGCGCGAGGAGAGCTCGATAGACTCGAGGGGCCAGGATATGCAGCGAGGAGGGCGGAGCTGCGCCGAAAGGCGCAAGAAGCCGCGAGAACAAGGGACCGGCAGGCGGCGGCGGCGTCGCAGAACGAGGCAGAGGAGAGCGAAGCGACAGGGGAAGAAGCGACAAGAGAGAGAACGACGAGAGTGGGAAAGACCGCGAGGTGGCATGAAGGTTGCAGCGAGAATCGGCGAGGGACTGCGAAGAGAGATAGGAAGAGGCAGACGCCCAAGGGTGGGCGACGGATAGCGCACCACACCCCTCTCCTTAAAATCCCTGTGTGGTGGCGGCGTGCCGTCCTCCCATCCCTCCCTTGGCGCCAAGCCTTGGGTTGTCTGTTTTCTTTCTTTCTTTCTTTTAGGCACGGGACTGGCGCGCACTGGCACTAGCACTAACACAGGTACACCTTGGGAAAAGAATTTTACAACAAAACTCCCGCTCGCACGACGCACGAGCCACGACACTAGGCACGGGACTGGCGGTGGCGCGCACTGCCACTGGCACTATCCACTAACACCTTTTGGGAAAAGATTTAAACCAACGCTCCGCTGCTCGGCGGAGATATTTTCTTTTTCTTTATCGTGACTGTGCACTGACCCGCGGCGCGCGGGTGACCGCCCAACTGAAAACAGGGGAACATATGGCAGATGAGACTTGAGAGTCCTACTCCGATTTAAATAGCCAGACGACCGTCGGGGCGTGCTCCATAATCCGCCCGGTCTAAATAGACACCGTGAGCCGCGCCATCCTAACCCAAGGTTGCCCCTCAGCCCCCCTAGCCGCCGCTCCCTCGCCCCTCCCCGCCCCCCTGATCCTAGCATCCTAGCCACGGCGACCTGCTCACCAGCCTCTTTCTCACCAGAAGAGAGCGTTCGCCACGAGCAAGCCTCCGAGCAGCCCCACACCCGCGCCGACGTAAGGGTCGCCGTAGTAGCCGCGCCGGTAGCAGCCGCCATAGTAGCCGCCGCCGTAGCAGCCGTACGGCCGCGCCACCACACACCGCGGCGACTGGCGCACCACGACGACGGACGGCTGCTGCTGCTGCTGCTGCTGCGCGGTTTGGCCGGGGCAGCGCATCAGGAAGGTCTGCCCCGGGGCCACGCCCTGCGGCACGACGACCCGCATCAGGCCGGCCGGCGCGGAGACCTGGATCTCCTCGCCCGCGCGCACGCCCGCCGGGCAAGTGACTTGGAGCAGCGCTTGGGCGGGGGCCGACGACGAGGCGGCGGCGCCCGGCGGCGGCTGCGGCGCGCCGTGCACGCCCGCGTCAAGGTAGGTGTTGATCGCCGCATTGACGTCGCCGCCGTGCCGCTCCAGCAGCGCGAGAAGGTCGCCCTCGCGTGCCTCGGGGCCGGTGACTCCACGCAGGAGCGTGAGCTTTGCAGTCGTGTCCTGCACGCCGGTCCCGTGCGAACCGGAGGGGAAGGGGTCGCTGGCGGCGCCGCGGGGGCTGCGGCGCGAGAAGAGGGGCATGGAGAGCTCGCGCGCACTTGCTGCTATGCGGAGGGAAGCGGACACGGCCTGGAGGACACGGCGGGCAAGGCGTTTCTGATAAAAATAATTGCAACCCGATGCCAATCATCCGGCCCGCTGGGTGCGCTTCTGAGCTCCCCGGCCCTGGATGTGCGGTTACTGACTGCACTCCAAGTGCTCCAAGTGCTAGCACGACACTGGGCACGGGACTGGCGCGCACTGTCACTAACACAAGAATTTTACCGCAAAACTCCCTCGCACGACTGTGGGCACGGGACTGGCGCGCACTAAGCGACTCCCGCGAGGGCGGCGAGGCACTTAGCTCCGTGCACCCGCCCGCCCCCGCCACAGGCAAGCTCGAAACAAGTTGCATGATTTGACTAGAGCTCCTCCTTCGGGCTACCCACCCCCTCTTCGGGCGCGATGTTGTGGTTCGCCCTCAGCATATTGTGCGGATCCAGCTGCCGCTTGAGCCTCCCCAGCGGCCCGCGCGCCAGGCCCGCGGGATACACGCGAGGCACGAGCGGCTCCGTCCCGGTGCTCGTCATCTCGTTGCCAAAGCCGTCCATTTCTTGCAGCTGCTGCGGTGCGTGCAGCGCCTCGACATCCGACCAAAAGGACTCCTCCCAAGCCTCGTGCGCCTTCATGTCCGCCCCCTCGTCCACGATGACGTAGGTCGAGAGGTAAAAGTCTCCGCTCGTCTTGTGCGCGAGCAGCGAGGCGGAGAGGGCGGGCGGGTGAATGGACACCATCGCCATCGTGCTCGGAGCCGAGGCCGACGCCAAGTGCCGGTAGATCACGTCACCCGCTCTGTCCACCCTGGGCGCGAATAGGGATCGCCAGAGGTGCTGCTTCCCATCCGGCCAGGCCCGATCAAAGTGAGTGAGCCACTCCGAGAATGCCCTGCTGCTAAGCTCGACTTGCACATCCTCGTGAGCAGTCTCCTTCACAAATCCCCTCACGGTGGCCTCAAACTCTGATGCAGCCGTGTCGCCCAGGCCGGTGAAGGTGCAAGACAGGCCAAAGCTGCCCGCAAGGCAGATTGCTTTGACGTGCTCTCGCTTGAAGCGGTCCTTCCACGCGTCAAACGCCCGGATGGCTTGGGCGGTGGCAGCCAGAGGAAGCTCGACCGCAGCCGATTGAAACGCGCCGCTCGGGGGGAGCTCGACCGTCCGCGAGACGAATCGCGTGATCACCCCAAAGTTGGAGTAGGACGCTTTGAGGGCCCAGGCCGTGCATGCGTCGGTAGCCTCTCCGCTGCCGCAGGGAACTGACGACACATCTGATCCGGAGTCCATATCAATCCACTTCAGTTTGCCATTGGGCAGCGCAACTCGGACCCGGACCAACAGGTCCACCGCAAAGCCGTAACGGTCGCTCAGGAAGCCCCACCCTCCACCGCCAATGAAGCCTCCCATCCCCACGTGCGAGATGTGCGGTGTGACAGTGGCGCGCCCACGCGGCAGCGTGGCCGCGTTGACGTCTCGCGCCAGCGCGCCCGGCCCGAATTCGACGTGAGCCGCGTCCGATGAAGTGAGCGACACCGTGGTCAGCATGGACAGGTCCAGGAGAACGCCGTGATTCACAAAGCACGCGCTGTGATGGCCAGCGCTGCGGACAGAGACGGGTGGGTTGCCCGGCAGATGGCTGGCCCACTCGAGCGCCAGGGCGACGCCCTCGTCGTCGCGCGGCTGCAGCACGTGGGAGGGAGGGCTGCCCACGCAAGGCTTCTGGTCCCAGCGCCGCGTCGCGTTCCCGGCGTCAACCAGGATGCTGCGCACGCCGTCCGGGAGGTCATTGCCGGCGTGGGCGGCGAGGACAAGGGCCAAAAGCCAGAGGCACGGGGGAGTTGCATTCGGCATTCTCATCGGATCGAGCGTATGTGGCGCAAGGACGGACGTCGGACGCTGACGTTTCCTAGTCCTCCAAAATCTCCTAGGTGTTTTGTTGGCAAACAAGACACAGAGCAAAATCTCCTACGATCTCCCAAATCTCCTCCGGGAATGCACGTAAGAACCACATACACTCTGAGCACTGAGAGAGAGAGAGAACGTACACTCTTGAGAGACAGAGAGCTCTCTACGTACGTAAAAATCGGCGGCCGGGAGGATAGGAGCGGGTGAGGGGCATGAAGGTCGCTGCGAGAATGAGCGATATCTGGTTCTGCAGAGACAGAGAGATAGGAGAAGAGGCAGACGCCCAAGGGTGGGCGACGGCCAGACTCTCCTCTCAGTAAAAATCCGGCCCTGTGTGGGGCGGGGTCCAAGCGAACGGCGCGAAGCTGATGGTTTCGTACGCGCCCCGCACCCCCGCTTCGAACAGCACCGCCATGGAGCCGTTGGGGAGCTGCACGAGCTGCGAGTACGCGCTGGGACCGGCGTGGATGACCTGCCCCGCGCTCCAGCTGACGCCGCCGTCGTCGCTGCGGTGGATCGTCATGCGCTCGCGCGCTGAGGTCGACGCCGCGTTGCTCGTGTACAGCACGTGGGTGGCGGCTCCCGCGCCCGACCCCGAGCCCGGCACCGACCCGGCACCGGCGGCCGCGCTCAGGATAGAGCCCTGGCAGCCAGGGTCGGTCAGCTGGGTCGGGTAGGTTGGCTCGGTCGAGGCGTACGTCCCGTTGTCCAGCAGGCTCCAGTACAGCTGTGCCCGGCGCGAATCCTGGCCCGACCGGCAGTTCATGATGAGGGTGGAGTTGCCGGGGCCGGCGGCAAACGCGATGGAGCACTCGCTGCCCGGCTCCTTGAGCACGTGCTGCGACGCGGTGAAGGTCTCGCCGTAGTCCTTGGAGACCGCGAGGAAGCCGGACGTGAACCCAAAGCCGGACGTGATCCAGAACACGATTTGGCCCCGCGCCTCGGGCGCCTGCAGCTGCAGCCCAACGGCCGGTCCGATGAGGCTGCCGACGTTCGGCTGCGGCGGATACTCGGTTGCGCGGGCGCCGACCCAGCTGACCCCGTCGTCGTGGCTCCACATGGTCATGTCCAGGCCGTGGTGCGCGACGCTTGGGTTGTTCATGGTGTCGAAGGCGAGCAGGATGCTGCGCGTTCCGTTGGGAAAGGTCACCTCGACGGGATTTGGGTTGCTCACGGCGGCTGGGCAGCCCGGGCAGGGCACCACGCCGGCAAAGACGGTAATGAGCGGGCCCCACGTCGCGCCGTTGTCCGAGCTCCGCCGCACCACGAGATTGTGCATGCCCTGGTCGCCGCAGCCGCCAAGGCGGTTCTCGGCGAACGCGAGCAGCGTGCCCCTGTGCGTCGCGATAATGCTCGGGATCCGATAGCACTGGGAGCCGTTCAAGCCGGGGTAAAAGATTGGCGTGCACTCGGCGGCCGTGCACGGGTTCGGCGGTGCCTGGGCAGATGCAGCAGCAATGCACAGGCACGACAATATCATCAGTCTCAACATCGGGTGTCGGCGAGCATCGATACAGGAGATCGAAGCAGGCGGCTGAGAAGAGAATTTTAATAAGCTCACACAACACTGGGACGGGACTGGCGCGCACTGGCACTAACACATTTAAACCACGCGAAAAAGAAAGAAGAATTTTAATTCGCGAAAAAGATTCCTCGGAGACCCGTGTTATGGCCCTGCGACCGCGCACCCCCCCAGGGCTAGCCCCCCCCCCCCCCCCCTCACACTCGAGATCCACAGGCAACGGACAAGGAAGGCGCAGACAGACGACTCACTGCACACTGGGGCAGTCACTGGCGCGAACCCGGCTGGCCGCTGGCGGGGCGACGGGTAGGCCACCACTGCGCAGACAACCCTCTCCCGACGGGGACGCCACCACCCTCGCCCAGGGATCTACAATGCTGTCTTAAGGTCCGACCTGAGGAGATTTTAGAAAACCAACAAGAAATCACGACTCTCACAGTGTAGTGAATCAGTGATTTTGGGCTCGGCAGCTTGTTAGCTCTCTCTTTCTTTCCGACCTGCGGGCACCGCCTGCGCTTGGCACCGGGCACCGACTCGGTATAATATCTGCCTGCGGGGCGGAACCCCTCGCGGCAGCTCACGCTCACTGCACACTGGCGCGGACCCCGACTCGTGCGCTCTCCCGTAGCGCGCGCGCGGGGTGTGTCTAGTCTTGACTCTCTCTCTGGTCTAGTCTAAATAAATAAATAAAAACGGACACCTCTACTAGGAGATGGGTAAAAAGGAACAGGTCCCCGCCCTGCGGTCTTTGTGCAGGGTTCTTTGTGGGTGTGGTCGGCGACTAGCCGGGGTCGTCCTCCCGATGGGGGACTAGCACTAGCCGTCTTCCACATGGTCCCTCGGGTCCCTGTTGCTCCTAATCTCGTCGTACATCCTCCTGCTGATCTCAGCAACATCCTGCTCCCTCCCTCGTCTCGCCCTGCGCGTCTGCTCCGCCTCCCCGTCGTCTGCCCTGCGTCGTCTGGTGACGGGTCCTCCGTAGTCGGTCGAGGTCGCCGCCCTCCTCGTGCCTCTTCCCAACGTTTCCTCGCACCTCGGCGGCCGATGCCGTCTGCTCCGACTCCGCCGTCCCCGGGTCTGCCCTGCCCTCGTCTGCGCTAGCTTCTGTTTCGTCATCACTGATGTCCGTCCTCTTCTTTCTCCTCTTCTTGTATGCTTTGTACATCGCGTCGATTCCTTTTCGCGTGAGCACCTCAGCCTGAAGAGCCCGCCCAGAGCAGCTGAACCTGGTCTAGTCTAGCGAAAATAAGAAAAATGAGAAAAATCGTTCTCCGTTGGGGCGACGCGGCGAGCCCGAAAGACGAAAGCAAAGCGGCAAGCGACAAACACGCTGACGCACACAATGAACAAACCACCCGCTCGGCCTCGGGCATAGTTACAACCCGACAAACAACCCGCGTGAACTCAGCATAACAATGAACGGAGGCGGAGGGCAGGGGCCGGCCGCAAGAGTCGTATACAACGAAAGAGTCTCCAGCTCCCTTTCCGGGCCGTGGTAGCGTGCGGCCGCACAGCCTGGTGGCTGCCTCACAACCTGAGTCTCATACTTCACAACGCGAACTCGTCGCGAACGGTGACGGGCTGCCTCCGCCAGATCACAAAACGCACCTTGCCGCTCGCCTGGCGGGGCCCGTCAGGCGTGGGAGAGGGGAGAGGGGGAGCGGCGCAGAGCGAGAAGAGGAGCGGCGCAAAAGAGAGTGGCGTGGGGATTGGCGGGCGAGGGGCGTCCAGCCTGCTCCCGGCGCGGCTGCAGCACCGCAGCCGCGCGCAAGCCTACATCAAAGTTCCGAAAGGCTCCAGCAAATGGTGTCGCGAGCGCTGCTCCCCACCGAGACGGAAAGCATGCCTGCCGCGCCCGTCGCCGCCGCGGCGCGCAGCGCGACGGCGCCGCCGCTGAGCCGCTGCCCCTGGCGCAGCACGAGCAGCACTTCGCGGCGCGCCTCGCCTGCGGCGCGTGTCGAGGGACGCGTCGTGGACGTGTCCCGCGACAGTGGTGCGGTGCCGGCGGTGGCGCCGGTAGTCCGGCTCGTTGCGGGTGCGAAGGCCTCGACGATGGCGACCGCCTGCGGGCGTGGGGCGGGGTGGTGGGGCTGGACGCGGCCAACGGGCGAGGAGGGCGGAAGGGCAGAAAGGGAGGCGTGGAAGAAGAGTAGCGCTACCGCTGCGAGAGGGCAGAGGGCGGGAGCGGGAGAGGGGGGGGGGGGGGGGGTCGCCTCTGGGAAGTGGAAGAGGAGCCGCGACGCAGCCACCGAGTCGGGCAAGCCGCGGAGCGAGACTTGCAGCCCGCCGCCCGCCACCTGCAGCGCGCCGCCCACACGCGCGCCGCCACCCGCCGCTGCCTCGTCCGCCACCTCCTCCGCCGGGGCCGCCTCCGCCTCCGCCTCCTTCACCGCCTCGGGCGCCTCCTCAACTTCCTCCTCCGCCACTCCTTGCGGCGCCTCCTCCGCCTCCTCCGCCTCCGCCTCCTCCGCCTCCTCCGCCTCTTCGGCGCCACCGCGGCCGACGCCGCCTCCGCTGCGGATCAGCGCGGTGAGGCCCGCCTGCGCCTCCTCCAGCGCCGCCGCCGCCGCCGCCGCCTCGGCGCGGGTTCGCTCGGCGGCGGCCTTCGCCTCCGCGCGGCGCGCCTCTGAGGCGGTCGCCGCGAGCTGCGCGCGCCGCTCCTCGTCGAGCGCCGCCTCGAGGCCTTGCGAGGGGGTTGCGAGGGAGGGGGATGCGAGGGAGGGGGTTGCGAGGGAGGGGGTTGCGAGGGAGGGGTTGCGAGGGAGGGGGTTGCGAGGGAGGGGGATGCGAGGGGATGGGCAATGAGCCGAGGGAGGGGGTTGCGAGGGAGGGGGTTGCGAGGGAGGGGGATGCGAGGGGATGGGCAACGAGCCGAGGGAGGGAGGGAGGGAGGAAGGGGCGGGGTGGCACCTCGCATCGCCTTGTCGGCGGCGGCGGCCGCCGGTACCACGGCCGCCACGGCGGCGTCCGCCCGCGCCTGCGCTGCGCGCCTGGTCTTCTCCGCCGCCGCCTCGACCGCCAGCGCCTCCTCGAGCCCCGCCATCGACTCGCCCGCCGCAACCGCCGCCCTCGCCGCCGCCGCCTCGGCCGCCTCGGCCTCTGCCGCAGCCGCCTCTGCAGCGGCTCGGGCGACCAGCGCCGCCTCCGCTGAGCGGGCGACGGCGTCCAGCGCCGAGGAGCTTGTGCCGTCGAGCCGCGGCGCCGTCACAGCGCCGAGCGCCTCCGCCGCCGCCTCGGCTGCGGTTGCAGCATCGCTGGTGCTGCCTCGAGCGGTGGCGGTGCCTGGGGCATCCCCGACCGAAGCCGCGAGGGCCTCTGCGGAGAGGGAGAGCATGCCGTTGGCTGCGCCGCCGATGGCGCGCACCGCGCCGCCAAAGGCGCCCGCGTCGTCCGCCGACCCTGCCACCGCCGCTGCGACGACTGCGACTCCGAGCAGCCCGAGCTCGCCGTTGAGCGCCTGCGTGGAAGTGGAGGGGGGATGATGGATGGAAAAGGGGCGCGCGATGGAACGAGCGCTAGAGGAGAATAGAGGATAATAGAGGAGCGAGCAGAGAGCGATCGGGGCGCGGAATCAAGAAGAGAGGAGAGGAGAGGAAAGCGAGAGCGCGCCGTGACGTCGAGGCCAACTGCGGCCATTGCGGCGACGGTGGCGGCGGCGGCGGCAACTTCCGAAGAAGCGGCGGCTTCGCCGGGCGAGGCGGCGTCATCGGACACCACGGTCGGAAAGCTCGAGTCGGGCGGCGGAAGCACAGAAGGTGGCCTGCGGTTGTTGATTGAATGCAATCAGCGTTTCGAGAATAGGCCGTGGGGACGCTTGGGAGCGTTCGAGGGCGGCCGCCGAGCAAGGAGGGCGGGCGAGCGGCGTGAGCGGCTCGTGCGATACGCACCGGGCGCCGTTTGACTCGCTCCCGAGGCCCGCGCGCCGCCGCCTCGGCTTTTCGGCAACCGTTGGCTTGGTCGCGCCGCCGGGGCGGGCGGCGGCTCGCGGCTCGATCCGGCGGCCCGCGGCGCGGTCTTGCCTCCGGCCGGGCCCGCTCGGCGCGAGCGCGGCCGCGGCGGCGACGAGCGCGAGCAGGAGCGCGGGGCGAGCCATCTTCGCGGGCGAGGCCGCGCCGCTGCAGGCGGGTGCGGATCGAAATTGAGGGTCGACTCGCGTGCTGAATCGGAAGTGCGTCATCACCAACACAAACAGGCATCATGGTCAAGGGCGGTCGCGGCGGTTCCAAGAAGAAGGCTCAGTCCAAGTCGGCCAAGGCCGGCCTCACCTTCCCGGTCGCGCGGATCGGGCGGGCGCTCCGGACCATGCGCCTGGCGAAGCGGTACGGCGCGGGCGGCCCGGTCTACTTGACGGCCGTCATCGAGTACATGGCTGCCGAGGTGCTCGAGCTCGCGGGCAACGCGTGCCGCGACAACAAGAAGAAGCGCGTCACCCCGCGCCACCTCGTGCTCGCCGTCCGCAACGACGAGGAGCTGAACAAGTTCCTCGGCGGCGTGACCATCGCCTCGGGCGGCGTCCTCCCCAACATCCACTCGGTGCTCCTGCCGAAGAAGTCGAAGGTCGCCGGCAAGGGCGCGTCGCAGGAGTTCTAATTCCGCCATTCGCCACTCCACCCCCGGTGTTTCTAAACACCACCCTTCTCTCTCGGCTTTTGAGCCGCCTATTTCTCTCTCGGCTTTTGAGCCGCCTATACGAGCTGCGTGTGCCGGTGTGACACGGTGTCTCTCGCAGTCGTTTTGAGTTTGTGAGCCGTGCGTGGCCCTTGTGGTGAGGAGTAGACGGGCGGCGCGTGCCTTTTTCTTTTTTTATTCTACATCCAAAAAAGAAAGACAATTGCTCGTGTTCGGAGGGAGGAACGATTACGCCGCATGCTTCCGGGCACATTCGAATGTGCACATTTCGAGCACCATAAATAATAAATAAATAGAGCAGTCATCTCCCGTAGAGATGGGCAACGCACGAACACAGAGGTATCCAAAAAAGGGCTGCGTGCTTGTGGTCAAGAATTCTTTATGCGGGGAGTGGGTGGGCGCCGGAGTGGGAGTGGTGGTGTGACTGCTCCTGTGGTGCGGGCGACGGCTTCTGAGGAAGCCGTCGCCCGCGCCTCGCCTGTCGCGTGAATCGTGTCGCGTGAATCGAATCGTGTCGTGTGGTTGTAAAATTTATGCCAGTGTTGTGCGAGGGAGTTTCGTTGTAAAATTCTTTATGGTCAACCCGCGTGCGAAGCACGCGACACGACACAAATACCTGCTCAAACGACTCGTCAAGACCCTTCGCTCGGCGTGGGGCATGCTCATCGAGATGGAGCCGACTGCACACCTCAGTTACAGTAACCCAAAACAACCTGACGTGGCGGCGGCGAACATCGGCAAAGGGCATGTGCGCCTCGTTGGCGACTTGAAACTTACGAGCTCGCTTGCGAGAGAGAGAGATTTTTAGCAATACCAAACAACTCTAACACTCACACGTAATTTGGGGCCTGGAGCCCTGTTCACGCGCGCGCGAGACGTGCAGACAGGGTTGCCAGGTTTCGGCAACACCGAGGAGAAGGCCCGCCGCCTGAACATGGGCTGCAAGGCGCGCGGGCAGCCCAGCCAACCCTTCTCCCACAAGACCGGCCACGGCTACGTCAAGGCGCATCGCGGTTTCTACCACGACGCGATCTTTGTCAAGCGCAACAACTTCAACCTGCTGCTCCACGAGACGTTCGGCGGCGGCTTCTCGCCCACCGCCGTTCTCAAGCTGCGCCGCCTCGCGCGCAAAGTCGCGCGCGGCAGCGTTGACCGCACGGCCTACTCGCCCAAGTACTCGCTCTCTTTTATGTCCCACCATGCAGAGCGCATCTCTCTCTCTGTTGTGCGAGGCGTGAACCGCGCCATTCGCTCTCACCTGGCAACCCTGTCTGCACGTCTCGCGCGCGCGTGAACAGGGCTCCAGGCCCCAAATGACGTGTGAGTGTTAGAGTTGTTTGGTATTGCTAAAAATCTGTTTTGTCGCTTGCGTGCAAGGGTGGCGATCGGCTCGGCTGGAAGGGGGCTTTTGTCGCCTTCGGCAACACCGAGCGGGCGCTGCTCGACTTAGTGTTAGGGCATGCTGCATGGCCGCGGCCGGAAAGGAGGTGCGACTCCGAGATTCCGGTAAGGAGCAGGGTAAGAATTCTTCTTTTATGCGTTGCAGCGGCGCCAAAACACCGTTGCCGCGAACCTGCGAACCTCCTCGCGGATGGCGACTGGCCCGCGAGCGACGTACTCTGCGACGCCGCTCGTCGAGATCGACATCGGTGGGCTCTCGGCCTCCCGCTTCCTCCTCCGCGAGGAGCGCCGCCTCCCGTACCGCGACGCCGAAGGCAACGTCAACCTGCACCTCTGCCGCCAGTCGTGGGCGCAGCTCGGTGCGAGCGCCGGGTCATACACGACGTCGGTGATGGAAAAGCTGGGGGCGTGGCTCCGCCACGCCGAGCGGTGGTGGGCGCGCTCGCAGCAGCTGCTGACGCTGGCGAGGCCGGTGTGCGATGGCGTGGCCTGCGACGGCTCACCCGATGCGGCAGGCGTGGCGGCGAACGGCGAGGACAGCGAGGATGTGGACAGCGAGGAGGACGACAAGCCGCTCTCGCTCCGCAGCAGCTACCGGCGGGGCGCTGGGCCGGGGCCGGCGGCGGCGCAGAGCGTGGGTGCCAGCGTCGACGGGTGGCTAGGCGGAAAAGGCCGCCCCCGCTACCTTCTTTCGAGCAGCGACGTTGCTGCCGGCCAGGGCTCGGCCGCGACGCTCCGGCCCTTCTTCCTCGAGGTCAAGCTGAAATCCGGGGAGGGCCTCATCAATCCGGACGCGGGCGCATCCGGATCGCTCGTCGGCCTCCTGCTTGCTCGGCCAGATGCTGGCGAGCCTGTCCGACTCTATGTAGCGCTTTCCCCGCCGGCGCAGCAGCGCAAGCGGGGCGCGCCCACCTGCGCACTCGTTCGCGACTTTGCGATTGGCGGGCACGACGGCGCGACCCTCGAGTCTGCGTCAGGCCGCTCCCGCCTGATGGTCCAGCACCAGCTGTGCGTGCCGCTCAGCGAGAGAAATTGCCTGCCGTCCGCGTGCCGCGATTGGACGGACCGATTCAACGCCGCCGGAGTCAACGACCGATTCGTGTACCCGGCCGCAGTCACCGTCCAAGCCGCCGCCGACGCCATGGCGCGGGCGGCGGCGGCCAGGGCGAAGAGTGCCTCGGGTGCGGGCGGCGAGTACTCGGTGACGCGGCGCCCGGCCGTGGGCTCGGCCCGCGCCGCCGCCGCTGGCCCCTCCCAGCGGAGGACGGGGTTTCTTTTCGCGCTGCCGGCGGGTCGGCAGGGCGCGGCGGCGGGCCGCGGGGGCGCGCGGGTCAGCGACCTCGGACAGGGTTCGCGGCAGCAGGGCCTGCTGCGGCGGCGCGCTCCCGCCTCGAGCGCCGCGCCGCAGCCTGCCCGTGTCCGGCTCGACACCGAGAAGCAAGACATGCTGCTCACCTGGGCGGCGCGGCACGGGCAAGCCGAGGCGGTGCGGCTGCTGCTCGACAGCGGCACAAGTGTGCGTTGCGGGACGACGAACAGCGGCGGCCGCTCCGCGCTGTTCATCGCGTGCGCGAAGGGCCACCTCGAGATCGTCCGGCTGCTTCTCGCGGCCAGCGCAGCGGTCAACCAGGCCGGCGAGGACGGCGGCGTCACGCCGCTGATCATCGCGTGCGCGATGGGCGACCTCGAGATCGCCCGGCTGCTCCTCGAGGCCAGCGCGGCGATCGACCAAGCCGATGAGGACGGCACCACGCCGCTGAGCGCTGCGAGCCTGGTTGGCAAGATCGACTGCGTTCGGCTGATGATTTCCGCCGGCGCTGCGGTGAACCAAGCAGATTCTAGCGGCGCCACGCCGCTGCTCCGCGCGTGCGGGGAGGGCAAACTCGAGTGTGTGCGGCTGTTGCGCGACACTGACGCTTCGCTCGATCAGGCCAAGGAGGACGGCGCCACGCCGCTGTTCATGGCGTGCTGGCAAGGCCACGTCCAGTGCGCCCGGCTGCTCCTCGAGGCTGGCGCGGCGATCAACCCAGCTGTGGATGGCGGCTTCACGCCGCTGTTCGTCGCGTGCCAGTACGGCCACTTTGACGTCGCCCGGCTGCTTCTCGAGGCCAGTGCTGCGATCGACCAAGCCGCAGCGGACGGCGCCACGCCGCTGCACGTTGCGTGCGCAGAGGGCCACGTCGACATCGTCCGGCTGCTCCTCGAGGCTGGCGCGGCGGTGAACCAAGCCACCGCCAGAGGCGCCACGCCGCTGTTCATGGCCTGCCAGAAGGGCCACGTCGAGATCGCCCGGCTGCTGCGCGACGCCGGCGCTTCGCTCAACCAAGCCGCGGAGGACGGCTTCACGCCGCTGTGCATGGCATGCCAGAATGGCCACCTCGACGTCGCCCGGCTGCTCCTCGAGACCGGCGCGGCGGTGAACCAAGCCGCGAACGGCGGCGCCACGCCGCTGTACATCGCGTGCCAGCAGGGCCACCTCGACATCGCCCGGCTGCTCCTCGAGACCGGCGCGGCGATCGAACAAGCGGAGCAGCATGGCCGCACGCCGCTGCTCGTGGCATGCCATTTCGGCCACATCGAGGTCGCCAAGCTCCTCTCCTCCTACGGCGCCTCCCGCGCCGCTACGCCCCGCGGCACGCCCGAGGAGATCGCAAACCGCAAAGGCCACGCCGACCTCGCCGCCTGGCTGGTCGCCAGCCGCGGCTGGACGCCGCTCGCGCACCTTGAGACCCTCACCGCCGCCCGCGCCCTCTCCCTGCTGCGCAGCGGCGCAAGCCTGCACGAGGGCGAGCCGACGCCGTTGCGGCGCGCCGCGGGCGGCGAGGGCGAGGCGGCGGCGCTGGTACGGCGGGCGGCGGCGCCGTGGTCGCCGGCAAGCCACTCGCTCTTCCCCGCGGCGGCGCGCGAGCGGGCGGCGCTCCTCGTCGTCTCGCTCTACGAGATCCACGACCGGCAGCTCGACCGCCGCAACGGCATCGCGGCGCGCGACTTTGTCACGTGCGTGCTGCGGTTCGCGATCACGCGCGAGACGGAGTAGGGGAGCACTGCGCCTAGAACTCAACATCTCAACTGGAACGGGACGGTGTGCCGTCCCTCGAGTGAGGTCCCTGGAACTGCATGCCCGGACCGGGGCTTCTTTTCACCGTGCGTCGTTTCTTTTCGCGTAGCCAGGCAGTTCTCTGTCCGGTATGCGGTCTTGGATGTGACTCAGCAAGTCCGCACACACGACTCAGCAAGTCCCTGTCCGCACCAGCGCGACTGCCACTCGCCTAACCATGCCTCGTCACAAGTGCCCTCCCAATCGCGCCCAGGCACACACGCTCCGCCTGTTCTCACCCAAACACTCTATCACACCCTTGGTTGCCTCCCTGCCAGAGCGAGCTAGATTCTCCCCGCCCCCCTCCCGCCTCTGCCGCGCGCCTTCTATGGACGTCCAGACTCCAGTGGCAGTGCAGCACCTATAGGGGGAGAGAGGGGGTTTGCCCTGGTAGCGAGGTGGCGAGGTCGCGCACTGCAAACCCAGTGTGAGGAGTGGGGGAGCTGGGACAGGGCATGTACGCCTCTGATCTGTCATGGTCTAGTGGCCGATAGGATCCTCCCTTAGGCAACGATGGCGGGTCGGGAGAGGCCCGACTTCATAGCCCGCCACTTACTGCCAGCCTCTCTGACTGCCCAGGGTCTCACCACCACGGATGCCGCCCGAGTAGGGGGATAAGGTGTGTAGAGTGCGGCTCTGTACTGAACCTCTCTCTGTGTGGATCCCACCTGAGCCCACTCGCGGTGCGAAGGCTCCTAATGCGGCAACTGAGCCCCGCAACCCCGCAAGGGTAGGGCACTCAGGGAGAGGTTATGTTGGATAATATGTTGTGTCGTGGCGTACTGCTGTGCAGCTGGCGCAGCGAGCCCTGCCACGGCTCGTCGTCGAGAGACTGGTCGGTGGGTGGTGCCGTAACAGCTGAGGCAGGGAGACTGCCTGTGAGTAGCGCAGCCGCGCGGTCGCCCGAGGAGTTGGGATGGCTAAGTGGAGAGACAGGTACGACCGTACCTGGGTATGGCGTACAGGTCAGGCCGAGCGTTTTTGATCTCTCGGTCTGTGCAGGGAAAAAAGAAACATACGGGTGTGTTTTTCTTCTTTCTGGCGGCATGAGCGGCGGCCTGAGCCCAACTCTGCTGCCCGAGCTGGCGGTGGGCGACCTGGCCGCGCTGCGCGCCGTCCTCTCCGGGCGGGGGACGCGCGGCACGTCGCTCGCGGCCCAGCTCGACGCGCGGCTCGACACCGAGAAGCAAGACACGCTGCTGACTTGGGCCGCTCGGCACGGGCAGGCCGAGGCGGTGCGGCTGCTGCTCGAAGCCGGCGCGAGCGTGGGGGCGACGAATGGCGGCGGCGCTTCCGCGCTGTGCAGCGTGCCAGGACGGCCGCCTCGAGTGCGCCCGGCTGCTCCTCGAGACCGGCGCGGCGATCGAACAAGCTGAGCAGCATGGCCGCACGCCGCTGCTCGTGGCGTGCTGGCAGGGCCACCCCGAGTGCGCCCGGCTGCTTCTCGAGGTTGACGCGGCGGTCAACCAAGCGATGAACGGCGGCATCACGCCGCTGGCCATCGCATGCCAGCAGGGCCGCCTCGATTGCGTCCGGCTGCTTCTCGAGGCCAGCGCGGCGATCAACCAAGCTGCGGACGGCGTCACGCCGCTGTCGTTCGCGTGCTCGAAGGGCCACCTCGAGATCGCGAGGCTGCTTCTCGAGGCCAGCGCGGCGGTCGACCAAGCCGGTGAGGACGGCGCCACGCCGCTGTACACCGCATGCCAGCAGGGCCACGTCGAGTGCGCCCAGCTGCTCCTCGAGGCTGGCGCGGCGGTCAACCAGGCTGATGATGACGGCACCACGCCGCTGTGTATCGCGTGCTGGAAGGGCCACCTCGACATCGTCCGGCTGCTTCTCGAGGCTGGCGCAGCGATCGACCAAGCCAAGGAGGGTGGCACCACGCCGCTGTGCATGGCGTGCTGGAAGGGCCACCTCGACATCGTCCAGCTGCTTCTCGAGGCCGGCGCAGCGGTCAACCAAGCCATGCATGACGGCACCTCGCCGCTGCTCATCGCGTGCAAGCAGGGCCACCTCGACATCGCCCGGCTGCTCCTCGAGGTTGGCGCGGCGATCGCCCAAGCTGATGAAGAAGGCACCACGCCGCTGTCCGTTGCGTGCGAGAAGGGCCACCTCAACGTTGCCCAGCTGCTCCTCGAGGCCGGCGCTTCGGTCAGCCAAGCCCGCAACGAAGGCGCCACGCCCCTGTACATCGCGTGCCAGCGCAGGCCACGCCGACCTCGCCGCCTGGCTGGTCGCCAGCCGCGGCTGGACGCCGCTCCAGCACCTCGAGGCGTGCCCGAGACGAGCGGCTGAAATGTGAGGGCATTGTCCTATCATTGTCCCTCTTACCGCAGGCGCTCACCGTCGACCGGGCGCGGGCGCTGCTGCGCGGCGGTGCGGACTCTTCAGCCGGCGAGCCTTCGGCCCTCGAGCGGGCGCGCGTCCTCTGCTCGTGGGGCGAGTCGAATCCGACCGCTGCGGCCGCCGGCTCCACTGTCGCGATCCACTCTCTGGTCTCGCGGCCGTCGATGAACGGCAAGGTCGGCGTCGTCGTCTCCGCGAGCGCTTCGACGGGACGCTTCGGCGTGCGCGTGGCGGGCGAGGCCAAGGCCCTCGCACTGAGGCGCGCTACGGCCCCTCCCCCACTCGCCGGATCCTCTCTTTGGACACACCCCACGCCTCTGCCCTTCCGCAGGCCGGCCAACCTGGAGCCAGCGGCTGAGGCGGTGGAGGTGGGCAGGCTCATCCTCAAGGCGGCGGAGTGGTCGCCGCAGTCGCACGAGCTCTTCCCGGAGCCGGCTCGCAAGTGGGCGGTCGAGGTGATGCGGCTGGGCTACCTGATCGCTTGGGACGAGGAGCGCTTCGACGGCGAGGGGGCGGCGCCGGGGCTGGTGGACCTCTGGCGCACACACGTGCTGCCGCACGCGGTGAGGCGCTGAGGCGCCGAGTGAGGTGAGGATGCGAGTGCGATGCGGAGAGAGAAGAGAGCGGAGCAGCAGCGCGTGCGTTCAGGGGCCGCAGTTCAGGGGGGGAAGGCCGCGTCGCGAGTCGGTCCCTCGAATTCTCTTGAGCCGTTCTCTCTCAGGAAGAGTCGAGCGAAAGTTTTGTTTGCGTTGCAGCCGCAGGCTCGGAACGTGACGGAGCACTTGGAGCACTTGGAGTGCAGTTATTAGCCTCACATCCAGGGCCGGGGAGCTAAGAAGCGCACCCAGCGGGCCGGATGATCGGGATCGGGTTACGGGCTAGAGAGCCCTAGCCCCGGGGGTGCGCGTTCGCAGGGCCATAACACGGGTCTCCGAGGGATGGTTCCGTGTACAAGTCCGCCGAATTTAAGATTTTAGAGGCCGGCCGCAGGCCGGCGATTTTCAGATTTTAGACCAAGATTTTAGAGCTCTGGGGCGCATTTTCGCAAGATTTTAGCTGTCCGTTCACACATTTTCAAGATTTTAAGGCTAACGGACTCCCCGCCTTCAAATCTTAAATTCGGCTGACCTGTACCGGGTTGGGAGCGGCTTGAAGATGAAAAACGTACCGCGGCATCATTCGATGTCCGTCCCCCTCTCCAACACATCGGCAACCTATGATAGCCTCCGCCGCCACCGCTCGATCGCCGCACCGCCCTGTTCTAATCGCGGCGCTGATGATCGTCGTCGCCACCGCGTTCTGGACGCGCGTTTCTAAGCTCAGCGTCGAAGCGTGGGACTCGCCGATAAGCGCAGCTGCCGTCAAAGCAACGGACTTCAACGGGACCGTGATCGTGCTGAGCTGGACCGACTGCTCGGCCGACGACGGAGACAGGCACGCTCGCCACTTCACACAGTCTGCTGCCGCCCCGGGCCGCCCGGTATTTACACTCACACACAACAACCGCCCGACGCACTGTGAAGGCTCACAATGTGTGTAGCCCGCCGGGCGAGTACGCCTGGAAGGTGAAGCAGCTCGAGATCTTCGAGACGGAGGGCTGGAGGCACGCGCCCGTCCCGGAAGGAGCGCTCGTCTGCCGCTAATTTTCCGCCGCCTTGTACAGGCCCGTTGAGCGCATGTGGGGTCGGCCCACCATCCCGCTCGGCACTAACCTCACGGCACGAATCACGAGCGTTCGCTCCACGCCGACGCCCAAGGGGTCACGCTTCGCCTTTGCTTCCGAGACCATCCCGTTCGGCGGCGAGTACTCCTGGTGCGAGCCGGCGGCGATCGTCCTGCCGATGGACCTCGGCGGCGTCTATTTTCGCGGAGACACGTGCCCGCTCGCACCGGGCTCGCACGTCGCAGACGTCACCCTCAAGCTACCTCCGGCCCTCCCTCTCGGCCAACTCAAGCTGCTGGGCATAGACCAATCCAGGTCCGGAGTGCGTATGCGGGCCCGCCACTGCACGCGCATACGGTCCTCGATCGCGCTGCCTCAACGTTCATTAGGCAGCGCACGAAGGTCCTAGGCCCCGACGGAGGCCTCCTCGCTTGCATCCGGACCAACGGCCGGCTCGTCACCAAGGAAGCGTCGGCGTCGTTCAACTTCATCCCGCAGATTAACGTGCCGGATCTGCGCCGCATTCCGTGGGGATAGGCACACGAGTGTAGGCTGTATTGTAGTAGAAGAGATGCACTTGATCGGAGGATTGAACCACAGCTAGTAGGAGCACAGGGCGAGCTCGCTGGCACTATCTTGCAATCCTGCAAAGGGGGGAAAGGCCGCGTCGCGAGTGCGTCACTTGAATTTTTTCGGACGCTGACATTTTTTGTCGTTTTCTCTCAGGAAGAGCCGCAGACTCTGCTCAAGAGAGCACTTCCACTGCTTGGAGTGCAGTCATTGACCTCAAACCCAGGGCCGTATGAAGCGCAAAGAAAGAAAGAAAGAAAACAGACAACCCAAGGGAGGGATGGGAGGACGGCACGCCGCCACCACACAGGGATTTTAAGGAGAGGTGTGTGGTGCGCTATCCGTCGCCCACCCTAGGGAGTCTGCCTCTTCCTATCTCTCTTCGCAGTCTCTCGCCGATTCTCGCTGCAACCCAGCGGGCCGGATGCCCAGGTTTTTCTTTGTTTTTTGGCAAGCAAGCCCGACCTCCGACTGGGACCAGGGTTTGCTTCGCCGTCGCGATGCTCCTCGCGCCTCTCGCGGCCCGACATGCCCTCGCGCCGCTCGCGCCGCCGCCGCTGCCCGTTGCGCTCGCGGCGGCCCCACGCGCGGCTCTCGTCATGGAGGAGGCGGCGCGGGCGCCCTGGCCCGTGCGCGGAGGCGCCGCTCTCGCGTTCCTCGCGGCGGCCAGCCCTGGCTCCCGGCCGGGCGCGGTGACCGTCGCGGCCGCTGCGGCGATGGCGACGCTTGCGCCGACCGCCGGGCTCGTCGCCTGCCTCCTTGTCGCCACCGGCGCGGCCAACTACTACCCCATCAACTTTGTGGCCATGTCGGCCGGCATGGCGGCTGCCGTCACAGCCGTGTACCGGGGCGTTGTCGCGTTCGACCGCGGCCGGCGGTGGTGGAGGCGGGTTCGCGTCCAGGCGTGGGACACGGCGCGGGACGGCGCGCCGCCGCCGTCGGAGCCAGCCGATGACGGAGTCGGCATCTTCGCCTTTGCCTTTGGCAACCTGCTGCTCTGGATTGCCCTCGCGCTGCCGCCGCCCTTCCCCAGCTAGCGCTCAACGCCAACGCACAGCGGACTGAACGCGTGTTTAAAAGTTTTGGCGCGTGTCGCGTGTCGCTCTTGGGCGATTCGGCGAGAGCGGCTCAGGCGAGAGCGGAGAGGCGTCAGCCTGTCTGTGTACTGCGAGCGCAGCTTTCTGCCCGGCCATGTGTCTCTCATCTCTAAGTACAAGATTTCCTGTCGCGCGATCTTCTCGCGTCGGCAAGCGCGCGGGCCAGGATGGGCGTGTGGAGGGAAAAAAGTCTGTAGTCTCGCGGGGCGTCGGGGTATGAGCTCGATGACCAACGTATTGTTATACAACAGTGCGCGCGCATCACCAATTTAGAGTTCTCATCCCGACTCTTCACCGCCGCGCCCGTTTTCTCTGCTGCCTCTGGCACTACTCTGTCATTGACCCGCCACATTGACAGTCTGACACCGGCTGCGACGAAAAGATATGCCACACATGTCACGGCTCCATCTCCATGGCGGCGGCTGCCTCGGCATCCGTCATGCCCGTGCCGCTCGCGGCGGACTTGGTGGAGAGGTATGCGTCCAGGTCGGCGTCCAGACCGGCCTTGTCGACTGGCGGCGCGCCGCGGCCGCGCGCACCGCCGCGTCCAGCGGCGCCGCCGGCTGCACCTCGACCCCGCGCCGACGGAGCCCGCACCGACGGGGTGCGCACGGATGGTGTGCGCACCGACGGTGCTCGCGTCGCCACGGCAGTGCGGCTGGCGGCGGCACCACCGCCGGCGCGCTTGGCGGTCAAACTCCGATTAAACGGCACGATGCTCGCCTTTGCCTTGGCGGGCGCGCTGCGCGTCGCTTTGCGCTTGGCGACGCCTCGTGAGGATCCTCGCCCGCCGCGGCCGGCGACGGTGAAGGCGAGGCTTCGGGCCGACGGCGCAGCGCCCGGCACCTTTGGCGGCTGCAGGGCGGTGAAGCGATCGTTCAGAGTGCCGGCGCTGCCCTTTACAGCGACCCTCACGGTCGCGCCCTTCGCAGCGACCCTCACGGTCGCGCCCTTCGCAGCCGTGCCCTTCCTTTTGGACGGAAGCCGGACCGAGACGACGCGGCTTGACATATCAAACTAGTCTTCGCTCATTTTTCTTGAGAGCGCCTTCGTTGTTAATAGTACAAACCCAATGGTCCTCTGCGAGCGGCCCTTCGTTGCAGTCGCACACACGCACACGCCACGCCGCATTTTTCTTCCGATGTGAAAATTCTTTTACTCACTATGACGAGGTTACCCCCCGGAGAGGGTTCAGAGTTTCCCAATCCGGAGCTGCGGGAAGGGTTTAGGAGCGGAAGGAGCGATCTCGAGGTGTCGAGGTGAGAGAGCGACGCCCCCCCCCCCCCCCCCTCCCCCCCGGGCCCAGACCTCTGAGTAGAGCTACTCGTGCATGCATGTCGTAGAAATCGGGGGTGATGAGCATAGCCTATCCCATAGCAACGGCCCTTCAGAATGGAGTGTGCCTCAGTGTGGCCACGCTGCCAATCTCGACTGCCAATCCGAAAGGGGTTGGGAGCGACCACTGTACCTGTATACCTGTGGTTGAGAGGTGGCCTTGGTCATCTGCGGTAGCGCTCCTCTGAGAGAGAGAGAGATTTTTAGCAATACCTTAAAGAGAGGTTACAGGCGGGGTAAGATCCGTTCGTTAGCGGGAGATCGGCGGGAGCTGCGGACGTTTCGAATTCGGCGGGCGCTGCGGACTGTTTCAGGTCTCTGCGCTCCCGTATGAGCGAGGCTGCCGACCCTGCCATGATCGAGGCTGCCGACGCCGATGGGCGGCTGCGCGACGACCCGCTGACGGACCGCCTCGTGGACGCGGCGGCGGCGGCAGAGCGAGAGAGATCGGCGAAGGCGGCCAAGCTTGCTGCGCAGACCGCCAACGCGATGGTCGCCGTGCAGGGGCAGCTCAAGTTGCGGGGACAGGCAGCGGACAAGGCCAATACCAAACAGCTCCTCTGTTTCGCCCATCCATCTGAGAGAGAGATTTTTAGCAATACCAAACAACTCTAACACTCACACGTCATTTGGGGCCTGGAGCCCTGTTCACGCGCGCGCGAGACGTGCAGACAGGGTTGCCAGGTGAGAGCGAATGGCGCGGTTCACGCCTCGCACAACAGAGAGAGAGATGCGCTCTGCATGGTGGGACATAAAAGAAAGCGAGTACTTGGGCGAGTAGGCCGTGCGGTCGACGCTGCCGCGCGCGGCTTTGCGCGCGAGGCGGCGCAGCTTGAGAACGGCGGTGGGCGAGAAGCCGCCGCCGAACGTCTCGTGGAGCAGCAGGTTGAAGTTGTTGCGCTTGACAAAGATCGCGTCGCGTGGTAGAAACCGCGATGCGCCTTGACGTAGCCGTGGCCGTTCTTGTGGTCGAAGGGTTGGCCGGGCTGCCCGCGCGCCTTGCAGCCCATGTTTAGGCGGCGGGCCTTCTCTTCGGTGTTGCCGAAGGCGTAGGAGTGGCCAACGGAGGCGGGCGTGCCGCCGCTCGAGGCGTTGCCAACGCCCGCCGAGGAGGTCTTGAGGAGGGGCGTCCAGAGCTTGACTTCATTCACCTCATCGCATCCTCCCGGGCCAGCGTGGGGTTCCGCGAGGTCGACCTTGTACCCCTCGTTGTACTGCCGGGTGAGCTCTGGTTTCTCCTTGTCACCGTGCACGACCGGCGCGTTGGCCGGGGCGCGCATCGCGTCCGCCCAGGCGGCGAGGACGCCGTCGTGGGGCCGCCGGTGGTGGGCCTTGTTGTAAAGGTAGTCGCCGAAGAAATCGACTGGCATGCCCCGCTCGAGCGCGACCCGAAGGGTGGGAAGCGCCACGGAGAGCCAAAGGCCGAGCTTCCGCTGGAGCTCGTCCTGGAGGGCGTCGGAGGAGAGGGCGGTGGCGTACGTGCCGTCGACACGGACATCGAGGGCTTTGCCGGCGAAAGGCGTTGAGGCGGAGACGAAGCGCGAGGCTTCGCGGTTGTTAACGGCGCTGTCTCCGAGGGACGGGTTGTTCTTGACGTCACGTCCCGCGCCTTGACGAGCTCCTGGTGCGCGTACCAGTCCTTGTGATTCTTGATGGCAGCGAGCGCCCGCGGCCGCGGGTACGTGGATTTGCAAGTGCCATTGAGAATCGCGTCGGTAGCTGGAAGGGACTCGGGCTCGGGGAGCGGGACGCTCTTGGGGTAGAACTCAGTCAGGTAGCCGCCGCGGACGGTGTAGTACTTGGTTTTGTCGCGGGCGGCGCGCTTCTCGCACACCTCCTTCCAGTCCTCGGTCGGCAGCTGCGCCTGGAGCCACGCGAGGTCGCGGAGCGCCTGGGGCGAGGCGTCGGCGCGAGCAATGCTCTCAAAGGACTTGCGGATGCGGTTGTGCGCAAACTCGAGAGCGTCGCACGCGACATTGGGCGGCGTGATGCCGGCAATGTACTTGGTCTTTGCACAGGCAATCCGTTGGACGAGGTTGAGGCGGAGCTGCGAGGTGTTGGTGACGCAGTAAGTGTCGACGATCGTGTCCAGGAGCCTTCGCCAGGTCGTGTGAAGAGCACTGATGCCGCAGTGAGTGAGTGGTCCCGGGCCCTGCGGGGAACTAAGTCGGCGCAAGTTAGTCTGTGAGCTGGACGAGGGCTAGTGGTGCGCCGTGGCGGATCAAGTGGTGAAGTGCTCCCCCGGGAGTCGTGGTCGGAGGCCGGGACACTACGCGCACTAACTTAGTGTGCGGAAGTGAGTGCCTCCGGCCGGCCGCGAGGGGAGTGGTCCGGCGGGCCACTCGTAGTGCCCTTCGCCGGCGGACGGAGGCGGGCTCGGCTACTACGCGCACTAACTTAGTGTGCGGAAGTGAGTGCCTCCGGCCGGCCGGGGGGGAGTGGTCCAGCGGGCCGCTCGCAGTGCCCTTCGCCGGCGGACGGAGAGGTGGGCTCGGCTACCACGCGCACTAAGTTAGTGCGCGTAGTGAGTGGGCCGCCGGCGAGCGGGCTAGTGGGTGAGTGCCTCCTGCCACCCCGCGCACTAAGATAGTGCGCGTAGTGAGTGGGCCGCCGGCGAGCGGGCTAGTGGGTGAGTGCCTCCTGCCACCCCGCGCACTAAGATAGTGCGCGTAGTGGGTGGGCCGCCTTCTAGTGGTCGGCGAGGCCGTGGCCAGTGCCCCAGCCCTGCGGCGCCGCCTAGTGAGTGAGTGCTCACCGACCCTCCCCACACTAAGTCGGCATCGGTGCTGTGTTTTTTAGTTGGCGAAGGCTCCTGTCGTGTCGATGACGTCGAGCGGCGCGAGCTTCTTCCTGAGGTGCGCGGTGAGCTCCTTGTTGTTCCATCTGCGCCCAGGGCCAGGCGACGGACCTAGGCAAGAAGGATCAGAAGTCATCGAGAACGCGGGCTCCGGTGCAGACTCGTGCGGCTGGGTCTGCGAGGACTCGGGCTCGGACGATCGCCGACCGAAGGAGCCCAAGAAAAAAAAAGACCTTAGCTTTTTGTCGAAGGACACCCCCGCTCGTCGTTTGTTTGGACGGGCCGCAACCGGCCAGAGGTGCTGCTGCACCTCTGGGCGTGTGTACGTACGTGTATGCTGCCCCTCCTCGCCGCCGCCGCTGCGGCTGGCGCGAATAGCAGCTGCTCGCTCCCCATATCGACGAACCAGGTCGTCAAAAATGCGCGCCCGGTGGAGATCAGTGGGTGGGGTGTAGCGGAGAGCAGCGAGTGGCAGGACAGGCTCGAGCTCGCGGCGCTAGCACGGATCATGTACATTTACGGGTTTGGCTCCGATTTGGCCGCGCAGTGTGTCATGGCGAGGCTGCGGGACGAGCCGGACACTATGCTGATGAACGAGTGAGCACTGCCCCGTTTCCGTTTCTGATTTCCACACAGCCTGTGGCCGAGTGCGAGCCGCCTGTGTGGGTGCCATAGGTGGGGCCTCTTCTTTGAGGAGGCGACCGCCTCGTCGCTCGTGAAGGTCAGATTTGGCGACGGCACACCTCCAGAGGGGCTTCTCGTGGCCGCCGATGGATCCGTCGCGCCCTCGAAACCGGATGTGGTCAACATCGGATGCGTCCCTGTCGGCCGGGCGATTTTTGAGGTGTGCCATCATTTCCCTCCTCTCGCTCCGATGCCGCCGCTCGACCCTCCTCGGCCGTATTCGGACACCTCCCTTCCCCTTCCGCCTCTCACCGCCACCGCTCTCTCGTCATCCCTGCCCTCACCGCCGCCGCCTTTGCCGCCCTCGCCAACGCCGCCCCGCCACCGCTGAAGCGTCACCGCTGCCCCAAGGCGCGCCCGGACGTCTTCTCGATCATCCACGCCCACCCGCATGCGGTCATGGCGGTCGCGTCGACCGAGGCGGGGCTGCTGCCCCTCTCGCAGGCCTCCCCCACCCCACGGTACCCGAACCCACCCTCCCCTACCCCACGGAACCCGAACCCATGCTGCTGCCCCTCTCGCAGGCCGCCTTCTTCCTCCACGGCACGCGCCCCCTCTCTCCGCCAGACGCCCTCCCGGGACCTCCACACGAACGCGCGGACCGCACGCGCCGCGCAGCACACGAGCGCGCTGCCGTGCTGCCGGCCGGGGCCCGAGAGAGAGAAAGAGAAAGCCAGTCCACGTGCGGCGCAGCAGCGGCAGGCGCACGTGGGGAGCGTTCGTGGCACGGCCTTCGTCCCGCACGCCACGAGCCCTTCTGCCGCACAGCTCCGCTCCTCCTCTCTCTGCAGCTGCTCCACAGGAGCGGGCGCTCCACTGCGCCTCCCCCCCCCGGCTCCCTCCTCCAGGCACCATCGGTCGCTACAAGTACGACTTCTCCTACGGCTCGGACTTCGAGGACGCCATCGCCGCCCAGTTTGCCGCCGGCAAGCGCGCAATCATGCTCGACCACCACGGCCTGTACGCCGTCGGCACGTCGGCGCGCGACGCGTGGTTCGTCACCTTCCACCTGCACCAGGCAAGACGCCTCCGACACACCTCCGAGACACCTGCGAGACACCTCCGAGACACCTGCGAGACGCCTCCGAGACACCTCCGAGACACCTCCGAGATACCGAGACACATTACACTTGCTTGGATCGACCGCCGGTGCGCACCACCATGAGCGGCACGGCAAGCCACCCGCTGCGCCAAGCTGCTTGGCGCGCGGTGTTCGCCGGGGCAGCAGAGGCGTCGGCTGGCGCCGAGCGGGAGGTAGAGTAGGAGGGAGAGGCACGTCCGCCTCTCCGAGACGCCGGAACCCGCCCCCATCGCACTCTGCTGGAGTGTGCGGGCCCTTCATGGCCTGGCGCCACCCGCCCGCCCCCCCAGGCGTGCGAGGTGCAGCTGCGCGCGCAGAGCACGGGGCAGGCGCTAGTCATGCCGTCCCAGGAAGAGCTCCAGCGGCAGTGCGCCGACATGATCTCGTCGCCAGACCTCTCCTGAACCTTTCCGAGACCTCTCCTGGACCTTTCATAGGTACGCCGACATGATCTCGTCGCCAGACTACGCGTACGACGGTGCCCAGAGACGCCGAGAGACGCCGAGAGACGCCGAGAGACGCCGAGAGACGCCGAGAGACGCCGAGAGACGCCGAGAGACGGCGAAACGAGCCGACGAGCTGAGATCGTCAGACGACGGTCGGTGTTCTCTCCGCGACCCTCCCCTCGCCAGCAGCGAGGCTCTGGCTGACGGGCACCTGCGAGGGATGTGAGGGACCAGACTCCTCGATAGTCACTGCCCCCCCCCCCATCCCGACCCGCCTTACGCCCCTCTCAGGGTCGCGCGAATGGGCGGGCTGCGTGCGCAAGCTCAACCGCGAGCTACCGGGGTATGACGTTTGAGGCGCGGCGCCGCACGTAGCGTGGCTAGTGGTCGGCCCTGGGTGGTGGTGCGTGGCGGCGAGAGACCGCCGAGTGGGCCCCTCGGTGCTGTCTCTCCGCGGCCGGGAGGCGTGTAGTGTGGAGGGAGAGCGCGCATACGGCTGAGCTCCGGCGCGCCAGCTCCAGGCTCTAGCATCGGGATCGGCAGCTTTGAATCAGACATTGGTCGGAATGATAAGCCGGTCCGTGTCGCGGCTGGACCGCGATTAGCGTGTCTGAAGAAGATAGCATTCCCTATTTTAGAGCGCGGAACGCCGGAAGAATTGTCTCTGCGCCGTATAATAGCGTCCCTTAGCGTGACGTTACACGGCTTTACTACCGATCGCGCACAGTGCGCGTTGAAGTTTTTTTACTTCATACTTAAATTCATACTTGCAACTTGGTCGGCAAGAGTGCAGCCGTCCTGGCGTCCACAGCCCGGAAGCCGTACCCGGAAACTCCAACAGGAGCTGCCAACCTCTTGCTGCCTGTTTGCGAGAATGTTGTGTATGTTCGTCGTCTCCGTACCACCTACTGCCCCATCGGTCTCGAGCCCACAGACGCCTTCGCTGCCTTCGCCACCTCCACCAGTCCCGTCGTTGGAGCCACCTTTGCCGTTGCCTCCTGTGCCGCATCTGCCGGTGTGCTACTCATGCCGTAATGAATGCGATGCCAAAGTGAGTGCAATGCCGTCAATGAGCGTCACCGAGAAAAACTCCAGGTTGACTGCATGTACGCGAGCATGCTGCCAGCCCGCGTTCGTGATTACTGGGGCATTCGGGTGTTTTCGGTAGAGAAACACACCCGACTTTCTCAGCCGGGCGCCATATTTCATTGAAAGGCTCGTGCTGCTCGTGCTCCGGATGACGGGATGAGAACTTATGGTGCCTGACACACGACACAGCGTCGTGTGTGGCGAGGAGAGGGCGGCCGATGATGTTTGTTGTCAGTCGTGCGTGGTTGGGTGTGTGAGAGGGGTGGAGGGGGGGGAAGCGGGGGGAGGGAGGGCACGTGGTGATGGGGACAGAGACTCAAGACGTGTGGGCGTCACGGCGACGCTGTGGCGCGTTACGCGCTGGTGAGGGCGAGCCGGGGCGGGCTGGCGCTGTCCGCTGCGAGGGTGAGAGCTCATGGAGGGAGAGGGGGGAGAGGGGGGGGGAGAGTGGAGAGGGAGAGGGGAGAGAGCGGCTAAGAGGAGGCGGGCGCGGCGCTGTGGCGGCGCGGCGCTGTGGCGGCGCGGCGCTGTGGCGGCGCGCGGCGCACCGATGACTTGAGGGCGGAGAGCCGGGATGGAGGTTGTGTGTGTGGGGGGGAGGTCGTGGGTGGGCGCTCTGAAGGTGCCGGCGCGCGCCATGGCGCGTCGACGAAGGGCCCGGCGCGGACCCACCGGCGCTTGCCCGGACCAAGAAGGTGCCGCGCGTCGACGAAGGGCTCGGCGGAGGGCGGACGGCGGGCCCGGGCAAGCGCGCTTTGAGAGGGCCAACGCGGCCAGCGCCAGGTCGCAGGTGGGCAGGGCGGCCGGACTCACTGGAGTCTGGAGCCACGTTTCCGGATGCGCACCCTTTACAGGGCTCATGTTCATGTATGATGTGTATCGCATATGGAAGCACGCGACTGGTAGTACGAGCTCTCCCCCTCTCCGACCTCCGAATGCTCCGTGTGGTAACACACACAAGGTACACAACCTGTGCCGACTAAAGCCGTACGGCTTTGCGACCCCGAGGTAGAACACAGAGAGGTGAGGCACGCATTCTCTCTGTCTCTCTCGAGCACTGCAGTACACTCTCTCGCACTCTAACGTTGTCATGTCGGCGACGCCCTCGCCCCCCCCCCCCCGCCCGCCCCTACAATCGAACCCTCCCCCCGCAACCTGCACTACGGGCAGTGCTCCTCCAGCCGGTTTCGGCGCGCAAAGAGGAAGAGGCACGTGGCGCCTCGGGTCGAAGCGCGCGGAGGGATGACGGCGACGCCCACCACTTTACGCGTCTCGACCTGACGGAGAGCGGCCAAGCCTTTTTCTATGGGCAAGAGCTCGGCGCCCCGAGCGCAGGCTGCGCTTGTGAGAGTACGAGGGGAGACCGCCGAGAGACCGCCGAAGTGGTACCGCCGAGAGACCGCCGAGAGGCCGCCGAGAGACAGCCGAGAGGCCGCCGAGAGACCGCTGAGAGAGAGCGGCGAGAGAGAGCGGCGAGAGAGCGGGCTGAGAGAGCGGCGAGAGAGAGCGGCGAGAGAGCGGGCCGAGAGAGCGGCGAGAGAGCGGGCCGAGCGGCGAGACAGAGCGGCGAGAGAGCGGGCCGAGAGAGCGCACCCGTGTCGGCCCAGAGAGGAGAGTGCCGTTGAGCGAGTAGACCATCAGCATCTTGTCTCCGCCGCTGGCGAGGACGAGGCGGCCTAACAGCGACATGCGGGGAGCGGCGAGGAGATTCCCGAGGCGCACTGGCGCGACCTTATCTACCAGAAGTGGGTCTTCGACGCGGTGTGGGTCGTGAGGGGGACGGGGCCGCCGGCTCTCCCTCGCGCCGCGAGTAGAGGCGCGTGACGGAGAGAGGGGTCCGATCTTGGAGCTCAGGGTGCTACGACGGTCGGCTGGCGACCCGTCAGGGTCGCCAGTTGAGCTAGGGAGTGTGGCGATGGCCGCCCGAATGCGAGCGCAGGAGAGAAAATGCTATGCGGCGACGTTCCGTGGTACCTTAAGGTACTCTACGACTACGACTAGCTCGCCGTCGGCAGCCGGGTCCGGTCCGGGCGCGTGAGCAACGCCGCTCAGGTCCTCGTAGGGCTGGTTGTTTGACGGCGGTGTCATGACGACGCTGACCGCGGTCCTAAGGTCTCACCAGCAGCTGATCTCGGGCGATCTCGCAGATCTCCCTCTCGAGACCTCCTCCACGGAATGGAGCGTGTGCGTGGAGAGCACAGTCACGGCACATGGAGTACGAGGTGTGGGTCCTAAGTGACGCTCTGGGCAGCCTCGGCTAATCTCTCGCGTATCTCGGGTGGTCTCTCCATGGAGTGCGTGGAGCACATGGAGTACGAAGCGTGTGTTGTGTGTGTGTGTGTGTGTGTGTGTGTGTGTGTGTGTGTGCGTGCGTGTGTGTGTGTGTGTGTGTGTGTGTGTGTGTGTGTGTGTGTGTGTGTGTGTGTGTGTGTGTGTATGTGTGTGTGTGTGTGTGTGTGTGTGTGTTGGTGCGGCCATCTAGGACCACGGTCTTCCGCCCCACCCAGCCGACGGACAGCAAGCGGGGCAGGTCCTTGGCGACGAAGTAGGCGAGGCCGGACCTAATTAACTCTTAATTAGCTCTTAATTAGCTCATACCTCTTAATTAACGAAGTAGGCGAGGCCGGACCGGGGGTCAAACGGGACGCCGGGGACCTGCAGGGGGAGCCGAACAGGCGGCTCAATACACCCAAGCATAGACGTGTCACGTCTCCACGAGGAGAGGGGGGGGGGGGGGGGGCGTCACCCCACAAAACGCTTGGCAGGTTTGCTCGCCGTAGCTTGTCGTCAGGGCGTAGGGGACCTGCCGGCAGTCAGAGACGACTCTCGGCTCTCTCTCCGGCTCTCTCTCCCCCTCTCGGCTCTGTCTCGCCCTCGGCTCTACGGCTCTTCGGCTCTACGTACTCTATCCCCCATGTCCCCATGCCCCTGCGTCTCTATGGCCTGTGTCGCATTCGACTTGAGAACGACTCGCCGCCCCGGCCGCCCGCCCATCGGCGCGTGCCTCGGCCCTCGCCACTCGGCTCCGTCGGCGAGGTGGACCTATGCAGTCAGTGTGCCGTACCTCTTGCCTTGGAGCCTGGCCTGTCCTCGCCTTACCGTGCCTTGCCTACTCGCGTCTCGGGCGCGTGAGGTCCTGTGTCACTCTGCCTCTCACTCTGCCTCTCACTCTGCCTCTCACTCTGCCCGTCACTCTGCCTCTGTGTGTGTGTGCGCGCGCGCGTCCGTGTGCGTGTGTGTGTGTGGCGTGCGTGAGCGTGTGAGAGGGGCCTGTGTGTTTGTGTGTGTTTGTGCGCGCGTGCGTGTGTGCGCGACTGAGTCTTCTCGCCCCCCACCTCGACCAGCTGGCCGGTGTCGAACTCGCTCACAATCAGCCGGAGGCCGGAGGGAGAGGCGAGGCCCGGACTCGGGTCGGGGACGAGTGTCACCTGCAGTTGGGGGGAGGGAGGGAGGGAGGGGCGGGTCTCGAGGAGAGGTCTCGGAGGAGTCCTCGGAATGTCTCGGAGACGCAAAGGCCCCACCCCTTGCAGGTCGCCAAAGCCCTTGAGCTCGTACACGTACGCGAGGAGGGGCTGGCCGATGCCCGCCGCGGGAAGCACATACACCCTCAGCTCGGCTCCGCCTCCCACCTTTGAACAGAGGCGCAGACGTCTCAGGCTGCGGTGTACTCCACTCCACCCCTCACAGCGCCGAGCTGTCTCACCTGGAACAGGGCGACGAACCAGACAGCGCCTGCGGGAGGGGGTCGGAGGAAGGGGTGCCGAGGCGAGGGGGGGGGGGAAGAAGGGGTGTCGAGGGAGGAAGAGAGGAAGGGGGCTCGGAGGAAGGGGGTGGACTTGCGCCTGAGCCGTCGACCTGGAGGAGAGCAAATCTCCCCATCTCTCCCCATATCTCCCCATATCTCCCCATATCTCGGACTTGCGCCTGAGCCGTCGACTTGGAGGAGAGCACCGTCGGAGACATCGCCGCCGCCGCCGCCCAGCTCCCACGCGTGTCTCCTCGCAAGGCCGTCCAGCGTGAAGGGGAGCGTCGGCGCCCACGGCGGCTGTGGCGGCGGCGGCGACGACGGCGGCGGCGGCGGCGGCGGCGGCGACGGCGGCGGCGGCGGCGGCGGCGGCCGCGGTGGGGGGGTCGGCGGCAGCGGCGACGGAGGCGGCAAGGGCGGCGGAGGTGGCAAGGGCGGTGGAGGTGGAGGTGGGGGCGGGGACGGCGGGGGCGGGGGCGACGGAGGGGGCGGGGGCGGCGGCGAGGGAGGCGGCGGCAGCGGCGGAGGTGGCGTAGGGGGCAGTGCGGGCGGCGGCAGGGGCCAGCCGAACGTCAATTGTTTGAGGTACTCTGTTGCTATTTCCGCGTCAGGAAGGTCGACGACTTGAGCATGGTCAGCAGCAAGCAGGCTGCCGACGAAGATGCCGACGGCCGACGCAATCGCGATCCACTTGCAGCACCTGCTCGAGCATGGCGGCTCTGGCGGCGGGCCCGGGGAGGCACAGCGGTAACCGTCCGACTCCGGCCGTCGAAGTATGTACGTCGGATGGCCCTGTCTCTCGCCGCCGCTCAGGACCTCGAGCTTGTGGATGTGGCGCTCGATTTGGTCGTCCAAGCCTTTCATGCCGGCAGGTAGGGACTTTTTGAGAAGTTCAACCCGATATCGGCAGGAACACTAAAACCGCTGTTCACGCTTCACAGGTAAGTGTAACGGAGCAGCTGGTAGGTACAGCGATTCCTTTGTGTTCACACCTGCAAGAGGTGTGAACAATAACGATTTCGGCCTTAACCGTCGGCATGCCAATAGCGTGCTATAGCCAAGTAGTACGCAGTTGGATCCCGAGGGTGTTCCATCACAAACAAACAAGTTCGGCTGCCGACAGACAAGATTGCACCTTATTAGGGGGGCAGCACCCGCCTTTGGACGG